GACACCCCATGAGCACAAACGTGAAACTTGATAAAAATGAAGATGGTGTGGAGGTAAATCAGACCATGTACAGGGGAATCATTGGGTCACTCCTGTACCTCACTGCAAGCAGGCCGGACATAGTGTTCAGTGTAGGGATGTGTGCAAGGTTTCAAGCAGCACCAAAGGAATCTTATCTGAAGGCAACCAAACGTATCCTGAGATACTTGAAGGGAACTCAGGACCTGGTCCTATTCTACCCTACTGGCGACTCTTTTTATCTTATTGGTTATGCCGATGCTGATTATGTAGGTTTTTTGTTTGATCGAAAAAGCACATCAGGCATGGCACACTTTCTGGTATCATTACTAATTTCATGGGGAACCAAGAAGCAGAACTCTGTGGCATTGTCCACTGCAGAGGCAGAGTATGTGGTTGATGCATCATGTTGTGCATAACTATTATGGATTAAGCAGCAGTTAGAAGACTTTGGTGTACTCACTAACACCATTCCTCTTATTTGTGATAACACCAACGCCATGAACATGGCCAAAAATCCAGTCCAACATAAGAGAAAATTTGGATTTAGAAGGCTTGTTCAAAAGAACAAAATTCTTGTGCTTATGTGGATGCATCGCTAAATTTCCCAAGACTAGAGAAGGGGACAAAGCACATAGACGTGAGACATCTTTTTTAAGGGACAATGTTGAAAAGCAAAATGTGATGATGAAGTTCTGCAAAAATGAGGATCAGTTGGCTGATATCTTTACAAAGGAACTGAGTAAAGAATCCTTCATTAAGAATAGGATAAGGCTGGGGATGCACAAAATCACCTGATCCCTTAACAAATTACACGAAGCTCTCTCTTGCTGACTATGTTACGGAGGGGGAGGTATCTATACTTGTTTTAATGTTGGTCATAAAATAATTCATCTTTGGTACCTTAATGCAGGTATACACTCATGGTGTGTCCAGCTGAAGGGACGATTTATTCACTAGGCATGGTTGCAAATTGAAACGAGGACCTGGTCCTCATAAGGTTAGTATCGCTTATACTACACTGTCTAACTGTCAACATCACTACCACGTGTCCTTCACCTATTCATCGCGTCAGTTTCAGATGTCCTTTCGTTTTAAATCCAACAGTCGCTACTGTTGGGGACCCGATACCTTTTTAACTTTAACTTTATATAATCTCAAATTATTGAATAAAAACAAATATCAACGTTCTTCAACAAATTTCCTTTAAAATTCACTAATTCCCTCTCTCAAAATCTTGTTATATTTCTTCAAAATGTCTAACTCTGATTCCTCTTCAAAGGCTCCCCTCTTTCAAGAAGTTGAAAACCCTAGTTCATTCAACTTCTCAACTCTAACTCCTGAGGAATCTCCCTCAACTCCTAGGGTTGGTGAAACGACAGAATCTATCACTCCTCAGACTGAAGTTATAGTCTCTCATGTTTTTCCCTCTGAGGATGTCTTAGCATGTTCTCCTACACTAGTCTTATCTGGTGGAAAATCCTAAAATTCAGAGGTGTAAACAGTGGCAAACCCTAACGATGAATCACCCTCAAAAGAAATCGATGTTGGATCCATGGCAGTGTCATCTACCATATCTGAGAGACTGTTTGAAGGAGACTTGCAGAAGGGAGGGGTCCTGAATCATGTATTCTAGCTGCAGGGGCAGAACTAGTAGTTGTTCACAGTCTGACATCACTAAGAGGTGACTCTCAACTTACTCTACTGGAGGAGGAATTTAGATCACCGGATCAGGTCCCTCACAGAGGTCAGCCATTATTTGACCAAACACCCAATTCCTTTGATGTTGAGAGTGATAAGGAAGAAGAAGAAGAAGAGGTTCCGTTAAAATGGAACAAAAGGGGAGTACGAGGAGCGAATGCTGTCAAAATGGAAGTTCCTGACTTTGAGACAGTTAAAGTTTCGTCTGAGGGTGACACTATTGCAAAACTTACTGAGCGTGCACAAGAGAGAAAAATAAAGGGAAATGGAAAACTTGTCGAGACCCACTCGAAAAGGCAAAAGAAGGAGTATGGGACAAGAAGTGTAACACATAAAAGTTCTGGGAAGTGCTATGGAGGGAAATGCAGCCCAAACTGAGAGAATAAGGAAAATGAGACAAAAAGGGTTACTGGCTGTAGAACCCACATCAACACATGTGCCTATTGAAGATAGTGAGACCCAATCTGAGGACATCACTAGGTATGTGGCAAAACGAAAAAGGGATGCTGAGGAGGAAAATGTGATATCAAAAAGAACTCAGAAAAGGGTAAGGAAATCCTCTGCAAAAAGGGAGAAATTGACAAAACAGAGATCTTCTGCAAAAGGGAAGCGAGTGAGAAAGCATGTGAATAAACAACCTTTAATGGGACCTGGTCTTAGGGTTCAAAATCAAAGTGAAGAGGAGGAGATGACGAGGGAGGAGAGAATAGAGAAAATGGAGCACCAAAAGGTTTTGACTTGCAAAGTTTTTGACACTGACATTATAACAAAATTTGGCATGGCCACCCTGTTTGATGCTGTCACAATTCAAGGATGGAATCATCTTTCTGAACCACCTGCTCCGTATTTGCACGAACCTGAAGTGTGCGAGTTTTTCTACAAAATGAAGTTGCTAGAAGGAGGGGGTATAACAACCACTGTCAGGGATGTTGAGATATGTTTGGATAAAGAAACTCTAGGGATCATTTTGGGGGTGGCTGTAGTAGGAATTATAACTATTGAAGGTTGCAAACCAACTGAGGAATTGACCAAGCTTGCCACAAAATGAGGAGAGGTTAAACGTGTTGGGCTACCTAAGAAGTTCCTTAAGGGGGAACATCAGTTGGTGTTTGAGTTCATCAACAAAGTGCTGGTAACTAGGATGGAAAAATGAACAGTTGCGTCTGCTGCTGACTTATTTCTCATGGAAAAGTTGGCTGACCTTGAAGAAATAAACCTTTCTGTCATCATGTTAGAGCACATGCATAGAGTAATGACCTGGAAAAAGGCCAAGCATGGCATTCCGTATGGATATCTGCTGAATTTTGTCTTTAACCACTTTGAAGTACAATTAGGAAGGGGAGTACCAGGTACCACCAAGCAGATGTTCACTGAGGCTACTTTACTGGAATGCGAGTGCATGAAGGGACAAACAAATGATAGATCTCAGGTAGCAGCCGTTCTCGAGCAGCAGGCCACTCTCAAACGGGGAGTGGAAGATCTCACGAGTATTCTAAATGACAAGGAGGTTGAAATTTCTAAACTTAAGTCTGAACTTCAAAAGGCAATCTCTAGCGGACTTGGTACCAGTCACGCTAACGAGAAGGTGCTGCAAAAATTGAAGGATGAAAATGCACTACTGTTGAAGACAAATGCCTCACTTAGTGAGGAGGTTAAGGCCCTCAATAGGAAGATTATCAAGGCTCATGAAGATGCTAATGAGCGCATGCTGTTGTTTATGCGCACTCTCTCTCCCGCTCCCCCTCCGTCCTAAATGTGTCTTAGTTGTCCTGAGTTTCTCCTTTGTTTACTCCTGTAACCCAAAATCTTGTGGCTTTATGTTTTGACTATTTACAGTGGTCAGTCTATGTGATATAATGCTCTTTCTGTTATCTGCCCTATTCATATGTGCATTTATCATTTTTTTTGCTTTCAATACGTATGCTCTGTGTGGCCCGTGGCCCTGAATTCTTAATTGCCCCATGTTTTAACTTGAATATGTTTACTGCTTCACCTTTTCAATGATGTCAAAAAGGGGAAGTTTTTGTTGCAATTCGTTTTAAGGGGGAACACTGATTAAGGGGGAGCACCAGTTATTGAATGAATGTTTGTTCACTCACGTGAGGAGTTATGCAGGTTGTTTGTCATCATCAAAAAAGGGGAAATTGATAAGTACTTATGTTCCTAGATGTTTTGATGATCTCTTCACAAGTGTAGGGTTATGGTCCTCTGCAGAGTATGAATACTCGTCCAGTCTCAAAATGTTGTACAACTGTTAATGCTGTCCGCGTCAGGAAGTTGGTGAAGTGGCAGAGTACTGCACCAATCAGAGGGGACGAGGTTGTTTGTCTGTTGGGTAATAATTCTTCATGGTATATATCAAACAACAAACAATATTATTCATTATTCATTCAAAGAGAGATACTTTCAAGCTTCAAAAACAGCAAGGGACCTGATAGAAATGCTTTTATTGCTTTCTGTACCAGCTGTAATTTTGTGTGCTTGTAATAGTTCTTATATTGTAGGATTCGTTTCACTTGTGAAAGGAGCGTTTCAAACTTGTGTGAATCATTGTAAGAACTAGGTTAAGGGTAACTTAGTTTCTTACTCTAAAAGTCTATATTAATCAGTTAGGATTAGTATAGTGGACAGTGTTGTATCTGCTCTGGCTCAGCTAAGTGATAGGAGGTATTGCTTAGTGTGGAGATTAGCAGGTTAATCTCATTTTGTAAACTGGCTTTTACTTTGCTTGGAGAAGATTAGTGGAAGCAGTTTGAAAAGTCCTGTTGAGAATAGGTCGTGGTTTTAGTCCCTTGAGTAAGGAGGTTTCCACGTAAAGTTGATTGTCAATCTTTACTTCTAGCATTTGCTCTTTACTATTTATTACTGTAACTATGTTGAGGACCTGGTCCCATCTACATAAGTGGACACATACATTCCAACAGTTACCAAGGACGAGAATAACCGAGATATAGAGCTTGATTACATAGGAGGCTCGAGATGTTGTTACGATGGAACAAGATGCATGGTGAAAGACGGATTCCAAGGAAGTACCAGAAGTACAGAGTGAAGTATATTGATTGGGATGCCTCTATTGTGCCTGTAAATATATATTTACTTGATATAACTGATACATGGAAAAAGCCAGAAAAATCGAATGCCACTGGGGCAAGACATCACTGCAAGGTATGTGCAGTTCCCTATAATAATTACAAGAACGAATGATAAATAAAATCATTTTTAGCTCTTTTCTACTTCCTAAATGTATATAGTTAATATTCATGCAATTTCCTTTACATCAGATAGAATATTTAGTGGAGTCATGTGCGACATCTGTTGCAAATGTCGATTGCACTCATACAAAGAAGATAAGTGTAATATTTCCTAGTGGTGGAGATCTCATCTACGGAGTTTCTCATCAACATATAGGAGGGACTGGTATGGCACTCCATGGAGAGGTACTCTGAGCTATTATATTTTCTTTCTTTGGTCATGTTCTGCTTACAAGCTTATACATTTTCAGACAATGTATAAAACTTTTTTAATCAACATCAAGTGTATATCGTGTTTTTATTATAGCACTATTTTATGTTTTAGTTCCTCTCTTGTGGGATTTTCATTGCTTCCCTTGTTATTGGGTATGTTTTCTTTTTCTTTTTATTTTTTTGTACTTGGATTTGCTATCCTTGAGCCGAGGGTCTTTCAGAAATAACCTCTCAACCTCCACAAGGTAGTGGTAACATCAGGATACACTCTAATCCTCCCCAGACCCACTTGTGGGACTATACTGTTGATGTTGTTGTTGATACATAACATTGGTTATGTATGCCAAAACTTGCAAGACCAGATTGATCGAATCCATATATCTAATCTCGTTCTCTTAACATCAGATAAAAGAAGTGTTGTTAGCATTTATTTGACATGATTATTTTCTTAATTTGTTCTTTTCTGTTTCCGCTGCACTGGTCTAGGATGGACGTGTCATATGCTTATCTCTTCCAATCTATGGGAAAGGAAAGGAACCAGGAAATGAAGCTGGTTACATTGTCGGGATGTCTAGTTGTTATCCTAGACCTGGCTCTATCAAGCTTTCAGAAGGGGAGACTATAACTTTACTATCAAACTATAGCAATGATCAGAGGCATACTGGAGTGTTGGGGTTATTCTATCTCTTGGTTGCTGAACCATCACTGAAACATAACTCTATTCTACATTCCGCAGATGGAGTAAGATCTTTGACGCATTAAAAGTTTTCCTACTTGAGTCTAAACAAGATCATATTTTCTGAACTTGTTTCTTCTTCAATACTACAGACAGGTGAGATGGTAATATTGCAAAATGTTGTTGGAGCCTTGTCAGTGTTTGGAATTGCACTACTTGTTTGTGCTGCTGTTATTTATCAACGTCAAAATACAAGGGATCAGGAAGGCTATGAGTCTATACTGACCCGAAGTTCTCTCCAATTGGTGACTTTGGTCCCTAGTACGTCGGAATAAAAGGAATCAGGAAGGCTATGAGTCTAAAAAGGATCACATATCTCCCTTCTTTTTGTACACTTATGTTGTACTTGTATGTCAAGTTACTGAATTATATGATTTTGTAATATAATAGAAATACGGCAAGAAAAGGTCTGTAACAAGGTGATTAAAGACTATTATGAGTATTTAATCAAGTCTAAGTATTTAATCACAAAAAATATATTAAAAGCAATTAGCAAGATATCAAGGAATGAATCTAGACAATAATATGAATACTTCTTTTTGAGATACTATACTCATTTTTCCCTCAAAGTCTCGACGGTAATTAAAATGTACTCAATTTTAGGCTTCAGAAAATTGAATCATATCGACAGACCAGTAGTTAGTTGCTAAAAACATCCTATCCTTACAAGGTGGGTTTATGGACAAGAGGTGAAATAATATCCCTTAGCTCTTCCAACGCTCAGGCATTCTTGTCAGTGGAACTATTAAGAGAACCCCATTTCTGCTCCAAATCCGCAGCAAACTTTGGACTAACAACACAGAGAGTATTGTACAGGTCTTTTATGTTCATTCCAGACAAAAGTATGTGTTTCTCTGTTTCAACCTTTCTCAAAGCTTTCCACACAAGACTTTGCTCATTCCAACCATTGTGCCCTTCTTCAAGGACCAGAAGACCAGGAAATTTTAGAAGTATTTCTCTAGTCTCTTTGTCATAACCCTCTCCATCTTCTCCCGTGAGAATCCTGAACAAGTCATAACTGATTCCCAAAATACTCTTACTTTTGGTCCAGGATTTCAGCTTCACCATGTGTATAAGGTGTGGATTTTTTTTCATAGCATGGGATAAACAGTGAAAAACACCAACAATATCTTCATCTTCCTTTAAAGAGAAGTCCTTATTGTTCAAGTTGTGGAAGGGAATATCCACCGCCCATTTATGGAACTCGGCTTCCCAGTAAAGAAACAAATTATATGGTGCCCTGATTACAGGTCGACACTCTGAGAACAGCTTCAGAAATGACTGAGAATAGTCCGCAATCCATCAACTTTTAGTCTGTTAAGTAGCCTGGGAGGAGGGACCACTGGTGGTACTGGAGCTACAGGGGGTGCCAGAGCTGGCACTGTGGGTATTGCTGGGATGGCTGACCTAGCACGGTTCTCAGCCCGCTGGGACTGTAGTGGTTGGTCGTCATCCAATTCAGTGAATGCGGCTTGGGAGCCCTCACTATCGGAATTGTGCTCCGGAGCCTCAGTAGAGGGCATCTTGCCCTTGCCTTGTCCTCCCTTTGGAGGCTCGGGTTGGCTCCTCCTTCGTTCATATTCAGATATTTTAATCTTAGAAATAAATAAATGAGGTCGAAATTTCCTTTTAATACGTCACTAACTCATTGTTACTACAAATATAAGGATTGTTTGATAATGAGAATTTCCAAAACAAGACTTGCAATGAAAATTCCAAATTGAGATACAAATGTTTCATTTTGTTGAAAAGAAAAACATTTGGCCTATGAAACTTTCAAATACAACTTGAAGTTCGTATTCAAAATTGAAAAACACACGAACCCTTTCTTTCAGTTTTGCTATATTTTTCTTTTTTTAATTTTTCCCCATTTTTTTAATATAAAAATAACCTCATTTTGTTTTTTTAAAAGGAAAAGCACACTCTAACAACCAAATATTTTTGTAAAAATTATAACCAAACACAACTTTAAATTCAAAAAATTGAAATAATTTGAACAAATATTGGCAATAGTATATAATAGTTGGTATATGAGATCTAATCTATGATGGGGTGTACATGGCTGGGTTGGTTCAGAATTTTCAAATATCAAACCAAACCATTTGTGTCGGATTTTTGAATTTATAAACCAAACCAATAAAACTCGGGTTTTTCAACCTCGAATTTTTTTGGATTTTTTTGGATTTTTCGGATTTTCGGGTTTTTCCGGTAAAATATTCATACAAACATATAATTTACTTGTATTTCAAATATTTCATTAGTCCTACCAAAATATAACTATCTAAGATGTTTCTTAAGAAAATAACACAAAATATGATATGATTAATTACACTAAATATCCAATAAAAAGATAATAATGAAATCGCGTAAAAAAAGTATTGCAAATTAATAAGTAATAATGACAATGATCATAATTTAAAAGTACTAAATCATGCTAAAATAAGTTTAATAAGTATTAGTTACATGACTAAATATTAAAGGAAATTAAAATTAAATTAATGTATTTTAAATTGTCTAAACCTATGTAAAACTAAAGAACAAATATTCAATATTATTGTCATTCTTAGTGTTGAATTGGTTTTCTTTTTGCATTAGTATTAATTTGATTTTGATTTAAGTTTTATTATAATTACCAACATCTATGAACTATAATCTTTATTGGACCATTAAGAATTCTAACTTTCAAACATGAAATAATATATTAAAAGATTAAAAATTATAGAAAAAGTATAAGAAATATTTAAAAATTATATCAAAGTAAATATTTTTACGTATAAAATATAATTTTAAAATTATATATATAATGTCGGGTTGGTTTGGTCTCGGATTGTTTTTTTTAGTTGAAACCAAACCAACCCAAATATAGTTGGGTTTTTTTTCAAATACCAAACCAAGTCAAACCAAACCACTAGTTGAGTTTTTTTTTCAATTTGACTCGATTTGCGGTTTGGTTCGATTGTGTACACCCCTAATTATGACTATCTATTTGAGAAATATTATTATTTTAGAGCAAATTTGATTTATCAAACACAACTCCAACTTCAAATATTTCAAATAAAAGAAAACAGAACGTCCACTTAAAAGTACTTTAAAATCATAAAATTGTCAAATCCTGGTAACATAATAATCAACTCTTTTTTATTCTACTGTAGTAGAAGTGTGAGTAAGGCTGGCAACGGGATCGGAACCGGGACGGACCGGAACCGGAACGAAACCGGGCACCACGGGACGGAACCGAACCGGAACCGGGCCGGACCGGAACCGGTAATTCCGGGAAAAAATTCGTGTACCCGTCCCGGACCGGTAACGGACCGGTACCGGACCGGACCGGAAACCGGGTCCCAACTGTTACTTATAATTTTAAAAAAAAATTATTAAAATTAAAAAATTAGGAACATTACACAAATAATATTAAAACTCTTATAATTTTATTAGAACCAAATTTTTTTATACTTTTAAAGTTTTAAATACAAACTTTCAAACTTTAAAAGTATAAAAGTTTAAATTTCACACTTTAAATTTTAAAAGTTTGAAAATTTAAATTCAAACTTTAAAACTATAAAACTATAAAA